TTACCTAGCCAGGTAATGAAACGTTTGCAAGAAAAGAACCAAGCTCAGAGAACCCCAAGGACTCCACAAAAAAATCAATACAAAGAATTACAATACTGAAGGAAATCTCTCAGGAGAACAAGGTTCTGTTAGTTTATATGTTCAATTTTATGTCTAGGTTGTAGAAGAGTTTGATATGAAAGAATGCTCCTCACCTATATAACATCTCATTTGGCCTTTTCATCCAAGAAACAGAAAACCAAAACCTTGAACTTTCTATACCGAAAGAGCTATCATATTTTTTTTTTAAGAAAAAAAACACCACTGCAGGGGACTTCCAGGTGGCGAAAATGGTGGGAAGAATGGAACCAAGGCGTGTAATTTGGGAGGGTAGAAATGCCAATAATCATGCTTGTAATTGCTGCAAAGGAGATCAGAAGTTGCTGGTTTAGATACCATTTTTTTTCTTTAACCGTCTTTCACTTTTTCTTTTATATCTCTTTCCTTTCTCTGCTTTTTAAAGTTTCTGTAGTTTTTGAATCCTGCATAAAATTCTTTCTCAATAAAAATTATTTTATGTTATATTATTACACATATTATATTTATATACATATACATATTATATCAGTGATGGCAAACCTTTTGCACTCGGCATGTCGAAAATCTGGAAAATGCCTAACTTGACTCCGCTGGCGTGTCACCTCCCCCCGAACAAAAGAGAAGGAATTATTAACATATTCATTTATTTTAAAAAATGCAGTCCAATCACGCCGTGCGTGGTGCTATGTATTATATAAAGAAATGTCGAACAATTACAAAAATGAAATACAAGTAAAAGAAACTCAGTTTCTTTGGTAACTCAAACAGGGAGATTAGTTGTTGGGTGAACGCTGGCGTGTCACCCAAAACGTCACGGCGTGTCACCTCTGACAGGCATGTCAGAGGTTTGCCATCACTGTATTGTATTAGCGTGTGTGTGTGTAGAGAGACAGACAGAGATGTATAAAAGATATATAAAATATAAATGTTGTAAGCCGCCCAGAGTCCCCCACTGGGGTGAGATGGGCGGGGGACACCTTTGATAAACAAAGAAATAAAAGGAAAAGGCACCGCGCAAACGCGAGGACCGCTCCCAGGCCGGCTGGAAGGCTGTCCGCTAAAGACGCGCGTCCGCTGAACGGCGAGCCCACCTGATCTGCGACATGATGTAGCGCTTGTAGAAGCTGCTGCCCAGCGGCGCCACCTCCTCCGCGGCCTCCCCGCAGGCGCGCTTGTTGTCGATGCCGTGCCGCTTGTAGAAGCGCCAGATCCAGCCGTCGCTGGCCTTGAAGCTCAGCTTCATGTCGGCGGCGATGGCGTTGGCGGCCGCCTTCAGGTCCACCCGGCGGACCTTGGCGCCGCCCGAGCGCTGCTCCACGTACCACTTCAGCACCGCCTCCTCGAGGGAGGCTTCCTGGGACATCTTCATGTGCTTCCTCGCCCCGATCTCCGCCGTGTTGCTGGTCGAGTCGACGTCGCACATGAGGACGAACTTCTTGAGCTTCTCCTTCGCTTTGCGGATGTCGGACACGGTCTGCTTCTTCACGCCGTACTCCTCGCACACGCGCGCCACGGACGAGCCCGACTCCAGCTTCTCGATCAGCTCCAGCTTCTGCTTCACGCTCAGGTTGACCCGCTTCCGCTTCTCGCCCCCCGCCGAAG